AGACCTTTTCCCGGAGATAATGTTGCGCACAAGGAAAGGAATTCGTTTGAATTTAACACCACGGATTTACACATAACCAGGGAATTCTGTTACTGTGACAGCACAACGCACTTACTTTTTCGGAAGATGCCTTGTTATTACAGCATAATCAGTATAATCATAATCTGGAGTAGCGGGGGCGCAGCCAGGACTTTTCAAAGGGTGGGGTTACGCTGTGTCAAACAGGGCGTACAATACTAACCGATTTTCGACACCGGAATATTGTAGGTTGTTTCCTTGAAAAAGGCTCACAAAGGGGGAATCACGAGCACCCCAGACCCCCCCTCCCCTTGTTACGTCCTTGACAGTCCAGGAAAGCTATGAAGCTATGATTGGTCGCATGTTCAGTTCCAGTTACTTTTTTGCGGGAGTGGACGTAAAGTGACTCACTCTTTTGATAGTAATCACGGTTAAAGCCCTATTCAAATGGTTTTCTCGCCAAGCATAGTATTTTTTAATGTAAGGCTCTCGACTAGTGAAGACGAGCGCAAAATAAGGCGAGTTCTTTCCCAGACTTCGCCATTCACTTTTCGCCGCTTTTCGACTAATCAATCGAGAGCCTGGCTCAAGCCATTATAATATACTAGAGTCGGGCAAGGATAGTAAGTTGTCCTTACCGCCATGAGATTTGCTTAAAGTTAATGCACACAACCTTTGACTAAAACCGAAAACTTTGTTGTGGATTGGAAAAGATGCTGTTTTTGAACATTAATAACTGAAAATATCAGATATTGCATATTGTGATTTTCTACACCACAAGAGAGATATTTTACTCTTTTCATATCTGATTGTAATTCTTTTTGTGAAAGTATTTGCTACATATTTATCAGTATTACTGTATTTATTGTTGTAACTATATTACCTAACCATTGTCACGTTCCCTTTGAATATATTGTTTGACTATATTTCTTGAAAATGTCATGATCACTGTAATGTCTAAGAATTTCTTTACTTGGACGGTTTTGGATAACTGTGGTAAACAGGAGGGCAAGTATATCTTGCTATATGATTTGGATATATCAACAAAGTTGAAATGGTAAATTGGGCACCGTAACGATTACAAAAGCTGACGTTTCGAGCGTTAGCCCTTCGTCATTCGCTCCGACGAAGGGCTAACGCTCAAAACGTCAGTTTTTGTAATCGTTACGGTGGCCAATTTACCATTTCAACTTTGTTGATATATCCAAATTATTTCGTTACTCCCACCGACGCAGCCCCAAACAGTTTCTTTCGAAACTATCAGCCTTTATTCACAAGTATATCTTGCGGCTTTAACTCACCCAACAAGTATCAAGGCTCCTAAACTCGCCCTTTTCGAAAACTGCGCAAATTTGAATGCATTTCCGAAGAGGGAGACCAGCGATTAAGGGGGCACGAGCTAGCTCTCAAATACTCGTCAACACTCTTTTGCCACGAAGAGTCGGTATTTTGATTGTTATAGAATTACCTCTTGGAAAGCGAACTCCTACCGCAAGCTGTTAACAGCCTTTACTTCTTAGCGCGAAAATAACGTCTGGTCCAGTTTGCAATTCCACGTGCAACGTGACTTATAATAGATTACTCCTGAGAGGGTGCACTCTGAAAACAAGACTGATTCACGATCGAAAAGCTCGTGATACAGCTCACCCCAAAGGGATTCTGGGGATCTGTGGGCCTCGCAGCGTTGTAATAGACATGAAGCAAAACTTGAAACGGGGAGGACTCGAAGAACGAGGACAGTCGAAATAAAATTAGCAGATAACTAATTAAACCCCAACAACAGTTTCAAGATTACTGAGGTGATCCCTTATAAAAAGTTTCAATAGTCAGGAAAAAGCGAGATATTTCTTCCCATACCTATTCAGGAGGGCCTTCCAAATGCCGAATTGATCAGATGATTCACCACTGCTTCTTACCAAATGGAATTGACCGGTTTCTGCGAATTCTCTCGAGTTGGGGGGTTATCGTTGAGATTAAGGGGATTCTTGGATAAAGCACAATAAAACGAGGTCTGTAAGAAAGATCTTCAAGTGTCAAGATATGGGATATGGTTTAAAAATGTGAAAGACGCAAGAAATTCTGAAAACAATATTTCAGAGAACAGGACTAAAAGGAAAAGGAGGAGACCAGGAAAAAAAAGGGAAGGGACAGTCTGAAAGAGGTTGTAACATATTCTGGTAAATGAGCGATAGGAACAAGTCTCTGGAATATGGACAGAAATGCGTCATCTAGTGACTGGACAAGCAGTAAAAAGAAAGTGGAAGTGGCACTGGAAAATGAGGGGGCTAAAACCGAGACAAACATGGAGAACACCATTTATTGGGAGTAGAATTGTTTATTAAGTAGTTCGAGAAAGCCTCATCATGATGCTTCAATTATCTCACGAGCAACACTCGTTGAAATTGTCTAAGTACAAAATTGGTGCAGACACTTAAGAGCACATCATTGAACTTGCCATCACATTGTTAAAGTTTTCAGCCGATGACAGAGGAAGTGCAACGGGAACCTTTAAACCCAACCTCACGACATGCACTATTCTAATAACAGGTTACAAGAAATGTCAGTCCGATTGAGGTCCAAAAAAATTCCAGAAAAAAAGTGATTACCTGTCCCATTAATGTCCGACCTTTCTTGACGTTAAATATCAGTCTAGACAATTTGATCAATAAATTTTAACTCTTGATATAAAAAACCCTTTCAAAAGTCACTTTATGTAAATAGCATTGGCTATCTTTCATTAAAACTGCATCGACCCATAACTCTTTAAAACTGCATTGAACCATAATTCTTTATAATTAACTATATTCAGTACACCTGACTTCATTAGACCACCGGTAGAAAAAGCACTCAAAGCCTGAAACAAATAGGAGAAAAACGCTTCAGCTTGACAGCGAGTCGTTCACTCAGCACTGATAACGATTTGGTCTTTCAATATCTCTGTCGAATGAGAGATTTGTACTCCCCTTTCGGGATTTCTCTAAGAATAAAATTGCTGTTATATAGATGAGGTATTTTTCTATAAACTAATAAATAAGCCGTGTTAACTTACTTTTTTTCATGCGAAAGTTGGATGGACGGTTCAGAACATTAGGGAAAACCCGAGGAGGAGAAATCCCGAAAAGAGAGAACAAGTTTTGTCGTGTTGAATTTTACAAAGCTACAGGTGAAAATTTCAAATACGTAGCTACAGTTATCTAATTGTTCAACGTGTGATTTAGTGGGTGAGTGGATGCAAGGGCGAATAATTTAGTGAAGCAATGCAGTGCTGAATGACTAAATGAATGAAAGAGAGAATGGATGGATGAAAGAGTAAACAAGTGGGAAGTGGAGGAAGGAAGAACAACGTGTTATGTTCTAAACGATTGATGCTACTAATACCATGGATACCCTTTTGCAACATCACCTATTGTATAAATTTAAGCTGAATCTGAGCCGGGATCCTCTAGGCTATCTTCCAGGGCCTCTTCTTTGCTGGGAGTTGGTACCTTTACAACTTCTACCTTAATCTTGTCACCAGAAGATGAATCTAAATGCAAGATCAACACAGTGGTATTATTTTCATGAAATCTATGCATCTCAGTCATGCTCAGCCTTTTCATGAGGGCATACCGCTTTTAAAATCAACTTAACCGCTGTAGTTGTAGTAAAACTTTAACATTCACGTTCTTGCGCTCGTTTTCAGCAGTACTGTAGCTGTGTACGCTATCCTTTCACGAGCGAAAACTCAGTTTTCTTGTATTTGATATCGTCTTTGTCCGACCATTTTCCTTACGATATTCATTACTTATTTTAGGCGAAAAATCGTCGCTTAGAATTTACATGCACAACCTTCACATAGTAAATCAGTAGATGGGGATCTATAGATAAATCATTAACGTTTGTAGATTGCAACATAACACTTGTGGAACTTTCTTGTGAAAGAGTGATCATTGATGGCACATACCAACACTAAATCCATTTCGGGATACGTCATTAAATAATAAATTAGTCGGAGGTTCCAACAAAAATCGAACCATAAGTACCAAAATAATTGACACGTGGTCTAACGATAGAAGAAATCAATAGGAAAATAGGAAAGTAAGGCTCCAAAAAAACCTTTGCAAACCAGAACTAACTTTGTCTGTCTTTTGTGGCGTTGATGGATGAGATCTGAGGTGATGCAGTCATATTTAAAGGCTGCGTAGAATTCTGCGTTGATTTAACATGTCCAGTTGGTAAGGCATTTACAGGAAGTTCTTTTAGATTATCACCTTTTGATGCAGTGTGACTTCCATCACTCTGTGAAGGTGATGGTTTTACACTTTCAGCTTCAAGTTCACTTTTCTCAGTTGGATTTTCTGTTACACTTTCTGCAACCTTATTAACTTTTGACGCAGAGTCATTCGCATTACTTCTTGGTGTGGGTGACGGCTTGACAAGTTCAGCCGCAAGTCCAACATCCTCAAGATCATCTTTTTCGGTGTCTTCTGTGACACTATCGCTCAAACTCTGATTGTGGTTTTTCTGCTTTTCCTCAGGAAGGTCTGATTTTGTAGTGTCAGGTTGTAAGGTAGTTTCTGAAAAGAAGGGAAAAAATAAACTTTAGACAGATCTAACGTAAACTGATAACTAAAGATCATTTCCCATGGATATGTTCCGGACAGTTTTTGAATTAGAAATAATATGACTAGGAAGTCCAACGACTCCCCTGCTGTTCACAATTGATATTCATGTACAGTAACGTTGTAAATGTAAATGTAAATGACAATACAATGGAATTTGCAAATGACTAGCTGGGATCAAGCAAGGTCCATAAAATCTGCATCATCTCCATACTAAGGCTGAGCATACATGTACCACCACATCGTCTTTGTCGAAACAGGGAAAGACCCCATTTTCCTCACCAGTTGACCTACTTACTTTATCATGTTCTCTACCCTCGTCCCAGGTAGAAACAGTACGGTTCAAGAGAGTTGAAATTACCGTTACTGTTTACCCCCACAATTCTTGTTATCACACTACTTTTAAGACAAGAGATGGGATGAAGCAAAACACAGTTTCAAGAGGGGGCATAGAATTTGCTACACAGTATAAACAAACAATTAACAGTCCTCCATTAATTTCTTATTTCTTACTTGACAAACTGTCTAAGTTACTTTGAAGAGCTTGGAGTTCTTGCTTCAGTGATTCGATGCTCAATTTGTTGCTGGATAACTGTTCCCGTATCTTTCCAACTTCCGTAGAACAATTGCATGAGACAGATTTTTTTGGTGTACCGAGACTTTGTTGATGGGAAACAGTTGTGTTAATTTGTAGCACTTCTAGCATCTGATGGGAGAAGTTTTTGATGAAATAAGTAAAACATGGGAGGTCTCCATAGCACTTTTTAAGTAAACCATTGCAATGTATTAAGCTATCTTACACATGAACTAATTTGTAAATAGTTCAGTAGCACAATAGCACTTGCTATTTGTAGTGCCAGGTCCCTCTGTCCTGTAAGAAGTTAAAGTACCATTATTCTTTGCTGCACAAACATGAACTGATTATCAAAACACAAAAAGGATAAAGATAAATTCAGAGTGCCTCCATAATTATAATATGTACTCATATGGAAAATCTGGTAAGAATTGTGGGCGTTTTTAAATTTTCAACAAAAGAGAGTGCAGAAAAATTTCAATGAGGTGCTAAAAGTATTGAAATGTCAATTTATTTGTCAATTATATGTTATTGGTAACCTTGTGCACTATTGTAACAACAAATGATGCACTGGTTACTGTTCACATTCCTGCTAAACTAATGCAGGGCTCGACACTAACGGTAACCCACTAGCCTCAGACTAGTAGAAATTCAGTTTTGGCTGGTGGTTTTCAATTTCCACTAGTCAGTTTGGCTAGTAAACAGACTGGATTTGTCGTAACATCTAAAACCATCTAAGATGTCACTAGCCACTTGGCTAGTAAATTGAAAAGTTAGTGTCGGGCCCTGCTAATGTTCAATACTCTTCTTTACTTTTCCAAGGACATATGGAATTCTTTACCAAATGATATTATCCATTCAGAAACTTTTTCTTGCTTTAAATAAAAATGACTCCTCCTTTTTTGTATTATTAAAGCAATAGCTATAGTTCAAGATAGTATCTATAAAATCGATGGTCGTAGCTAACTCTAGCAATTTTGCCACTGCATGCATCGAACTTTTTAATTTAGTAGACCTCCCTTCTACAAGTCCAGTGGTTTCTAAAGGGCCCCTCCCCTTACCATCTCTACAATCACCTTGTTAGTAACTGTCAGTAGTAGTATATCTTTAGCTTTAATATTGTAAACTTTCATTAGGTTGCAACGTATACACCCTATGATCTATAATTGATTTATTCATTTCCTTGTATTTAGGGAAAATAAATGAATAAATAAAACGTAAAACATTTTGAGAAAAAAAAATGTAAGGGAGCTGAAACAAGCTTACCAGTTCAGCCAAATTCTTGGACTGTTGGTCAACATAATCTGATAGCTTTTTCACTTCAAGTGATAAATTGGAGACCTGCTCTGAAAGCATGTCACTGTCTGGTTCAAGGTGACCTCTAGAGATTACACTGCTGTGGTTTTGTTTCAAAACCTGTGTGACTTTAGTCTGTAAGTCATCAAGAGCTACCTGATAGAGACAAAAAAAAAAACTAATGAACGAAAAATAAAACTACAATAATCAATACAAGGAATTGAAAATGCAAAAGTTGTAGACAAACTGCATCTAAACATGTATTAACTTAAAACTGATAAAATGTGTTGGCTTTCACATGCCAACAACCAAGCAAACAAATTAATTTTAGTAGAAAATTAACCCTTCTAACTGATAACTATTGGCCAACTTTAAGCCACATTTAGAGCCAATAATATCTGGTAAAATCAAAACAAAAAATGACGCAACTGTAAAACATTTCTTTCTTTGAATGATGACACTTTTCCTTTAGTTCAGCTATACGTACAATCTTGTGTCAGTCTACATCTATGTCAATGAATAAAGGCTGATGGTTTCTAAAGAAACTGTTTGGGGCTGTGTTGGTGGGGGTAACGAAATAATTTGAATATATCAATATATCAACAAAGTAGAAATGGTAAATTGGCCACCGTAACGATTACAAAAGCTGACATTTTGAGCGTTAGCCCTTCGTCGGAGCGATGGGCTAACGCTCCGACGAAGGGCAAAATTAATGCTCGAAAGGTCAGCTTTTGTATTCATTACAGTGGCCAATTTACCATTTCAACTTTGTTGATATATCCAAATTATTACATCTATGTCAACACTGACCAATCAGTGAAATAATAAACTACCATGTCACAATATGATTGGCACAGAGGTGAAAAATTTAGTACAGGAGGAATTCAAAGGGGCACAGAAGATAAATAGGAAAAAAAAAAAAAGAAACAAAGACTGGAGAATGAAAAAGACTGTTTTCCAAATGACTATCATTAAGTAATTGTAAGCTAAAATTAGTTTTGGTTTACTTAAATTAGTGGGGAATAATTAAAGTTTATTTCTTTAGTTTACCTCATTAACTAGATATTTTGACCCAGCCCTTTTAAAAGAGGTAACATTTCACTTACAACATGTTTCTTGACTTCCTTCAACAAGCCCTTCATCAAAAGCCTTAATTTTGATACTTCATAAGACAATGTCTGGTTCACTGTTGTCAGAATTCCCATAACCCTGCCAACTTCCTACGACGTGAAAATAAAAAAATTAACATATCCCTCACATGGGACAAGGTAATACTTCAAATTACAGTAGTAACTTGATGCAAAAGAAATTATGAATTCAACAATGTACATAAAATCACTTTAAATGCCCATAGACATTTACTAAGTCAGAAAACAAAAAAGGCAAAATAACAAGCTAAAAAGTTCAAAACTCAAATATGATAATATAAGGAACACATAACAAATATCAGAAAGGCATACTAACTATAGTGTGTAAGTCATCTTTGAACTTATCTGGTTATTCATAACTTTTAAGAATTTGCTGTATAGTTACCACTGAAATTTGTGCTGTGAAATTCTTCACCACTGATTCATCTCCATCTTGTTGTTTCTCATCAGCATTGACTGGCATCCGTAAAATTAGGGGTGGAGTTCCAGTATTTGCTGGAGCTTTGGGAGTTGGCTTTCCCATTACTTGAGCTACTTGAACCTATTTAAAGGCATAAGTTTGTGACATGATGAAACTACTTCTGGCAAGTTTTAAAATAAGAAACTTATCAAATGTTCTGTAAAAACATTCATCTAGATCCCAAGGTTCTCTAAAGCTGCACATAAGGCATGGAAATGAAAAGATCTTGGAGCTCTCAAGAAATAGGATGATGGCTGGTTATAAAAAATCACATAGCTAAAAAAATAATTCCTCCTTGACAACAGCCACAGATTTGCAGATATATGTAGATTCAATGATATCTAAAATATACACTGTTCACCAAGTGCAAAACAAGAAGAATCATTCTATTTCAGTGATGATGATGATGTTGATAATACTTACCGAAAGATTATAAACATTTTTTGTCAACTTTTCCATTCTCTTCTGCTGTTTACCAGCTAAATCTGTTAGCTGTTTAATTTTGTCTTTAATCTCTGTTATATCACCACCTGTGTCAGCCATTCCTTTCTTCAGTGACTCAATATCTTTTGTTAATGTGCTTGCACTTTCTGGTAACTTAACCTTCTTCTTTAATTCATCTACTGTTAAGTTTAAATAAGCAATCTGACAAAGTGAAAAAAAAAAAAAGACAAAACATTTTGGCATCGCAATTCCTACAGTTTACTGAATGCTGTAAAAATGGTCCAATGGCTAGTTATGATAATAATGCTTACTGATGGTAATACAATGATACACTGACTGAAATATAGAAAAAAAGAAAACAGATGCCTCATAACAAAGTAAGCAAGCTTCTTTGAGAGGTGCCAACAAAAAGTGCAGTTGAAGAAATACATCCAAACATCTACATCTACTTATTTACTCTGTAAGGTGTAATTGGCGCTTTGTCGCAGTATTCATTACATAATCATTATTATTAGTATTCTGATAAATTCACCTTGTTTCATAGGACGGTATGTAGTATAGTTGTGTAGTTCTTACCTGCTTAAGAATTGATTTAAATTGTTCATCATCGTGTTTTACAGCTTTTTCTCGGTCAGTTTCTAAAGCCTTGTACTTGTTAGTCAGGTCATTATTTAGGCTCTCATATTCCCTTGAAGTGCTTCTATCAAATGACTCCACTGTTAGAGCAAAAATGGAGATATAACTGCATTGATTCACAGTAACTCTACACACGATAGCTAATACAATTGATAATACCAGCTTACCAGTAAAAAACTTAGGGTAGCTTTAAAGAGTACATCAAATTGATAACTGCCTCCCGGTTAGCTCAATGGATAGAGTGCTGGACTGTTGTGCGGGAGGTCGAGGGTTCGAGCCCCGGCCGGACCAACACTCAAGGTCTTAAAATAATTGAGAAGAATTTGCTACCTTTCTATAACATCAAGAAATGGTTAGATATTCAAGTCTTCTCGGATAGGGATGAATAAATGGAGGTCCCGTCTCCTACAGGGTTAGGGGTAGGAGACATTAATTTCCCACGCACGAGATTACTGTGTGATGGATGTCCTCCCCTGGGAGGATGGGCGGGTTAGGATTGATTGTAAAGCGCTGTTGATCTATCATTGTAAATAGCGCTCTATAAGTGATAAATTGTTGTAAATTGTATATTTATGAAATCCTTTCTGCAACTATTATAACAGTACTAAAAAAAATTAACTTCCCAATCAAATAAAAAAAAAAAATAATCATAACCAATAAAGAAGAAACAGGAAAGATTTCATGTTTAGCAAGTGAACCAAGACCTTGGAGCCCTGCATGAGGTACAAAGGACTAGCAAAATGTGTTCAAAATACCAGATGGGATTTCCTACTCGAGGTTTTATTAGGGGGATTCCAAGGGGAAAGGAGGAGAGAGAGACTTTACAAAAGGACATTAGGGTTCTGCAACATTTTTTAAAAAGTGGCATTGGGGAAACTCACCGCCTCACATAAGAACACAATTGACACTTGTCAGCCAGTGCTCGGCCTTATTCAAAAGCACTAAAATTTACTTAATATATACATATATACATGACTAACCCAAAACCTTATGAACATGTCTTTATTCCTTTATTGTCAAAATTTAATTTCAAGGAAACTAAATTAAAAATTGCAGACTTAATTGACACATCATAGACTAAAATATGTGCAAATTTTTTTCACCACCAATTTAAAATAATTATATGGTTTTGTGCAGCAGCAGTCCAAGAGGTACTACCCTCTTGAAATTTAGCACCTGTTTCAAAGCAAATGAACACAAATTGCTTTTTCTCATTTACTTTTGGTGCTTGTCCAAAAGGACTATTGATACATTAGTTAGCGTCAATCCTTAAACTGCCAGTAGAAGCTTCAAACACATTCCAGACCATTATTTAAATTGTTATCTAAAACTAATATTTGAACCCAAGACCGCAACAAGAAAAAACCTTTAGTTTGAAGGTCAAAAATGCGAAAACCCAGCATCTGGAAGATTCTCTTTAAAAAGATAACCGTCATTAATTATGCATAACCTCTAAATGATACACGTAGAGCAATATCCATTAAAATAAAAACTGACATGACGAAATAATTTTGAATTACTTACGATATTTCCGGTAACAAACGAATAAATCAATGATATTTGCTGAGATCTACGACTTACCCCTAGAGTAAAGGCTTAAAATAGAAACGACTTCCCTTTCGAAAACGTTAATTTGTATCTGCCCCCAAATTCGTACAGAAAACAAATATCACCAAACTTCGTGATAATTCAAGTCGAAAAGATTTTGCCACTGTGTGACATATATTGAGTAAACAATATCGGGATAAGATGAGTGTATTGTAAATATAGCTTATCTATCCTTTATAACAACTTACGTACGATGATTACAACATAAAACAATAAAAACTCTAAGACTGTATTTTCCAAAGAATCGTCACGTGTAGACAAAATTACTGAAAAATTGGCATAAATCCAGTAGCTAACTAGGAAATTTTATTTTCGTTACGGCTGAAATGAGTTTCTGTTCCAAACACGCAAGATCTTAAGCTCCAGGAGAGGTTCCACTATTGGATCAGCTTCAATATCACTTGATAATTAATTGAAAGGTAATTCTTCATTTTAGTTCGAGCACAAAAAGAACCAACGCAGACTTATTAAAATTCTTGGACAAGTTTGAATATTACAACGCCCAAAATGAATATATCTGATTTATGCATATCTTAACACGTCTACCAGTCCGTCGCTTTTTTTCTTCGGGCAAATTTGTATCTGGAAGTCGAGTTTCTCATCATTAACCACTCTGTCCAAGACTCGGAACTAAATTACTTTTGACAGGCGCGCTCGAAGTATTGTTAAAAGTAAATCACCACATCCTCAAAAAGTGAGCTAATCATTGCATATATATTCAAAGCTACAAGAACCACTCGACACAACGTAATGATTTTTAAGACAGAACAAATCGTTGATATTACAAAAATATACGAAGACTTTTTAAATATACCAATAAAAGAAATTGCGAAAAAAGCTTACCAGTGACTTTATTAGATTAGGTTTTTCATTTTCGCGAGAGTAAATTATTGATGAGCAACACTTCACGAAGAACGTTCACTGAAACAGAATGATCTACAGTACGACCGCAACGTCACATCGCAAACTCTAGAAAGGTTTGGACGAATCAACAAGCGCATAGCATTAGCGTCTGATACAAATCTTGAAACCAAATAAAATCGAAAATACTAATGAAGGAGTGTCGAGCAAACGCTATATTTAAAAGCTAATTTTTCGATGATTTTGAAATGCGTCAGAAAGTGGTACGTTGGGGTAAAATATTCGCATAATGCGTAGCATAAGTTCGTGTACAAGCAACAGCATTCACGCATGATTGACTATTTCCGCTTTACAATGTAAAACAACACAGACAGATTCAGCAGCATTGAGTCTACACGCGATTCAAATTATTTTTTGGGAAGTATAAAGCACTCGAAAATATATTTATATTCGAATTTTCTCAAAAAAGTATTAAAATTCAATCAGATAGAGAAACTCACACTGTGTCTGCACAATATTTTAATAATATGCACTCCGCTTCTGATTAACTACAAAAATAATAAATGAATCTCCCACAGCTCGGACTTACCTTTGCTTAATCTTTTTCTCATGAAGTCTAAATCACGCTTGAGCCTTAAACTAAACCATCCCAGTACTAATACACAAAGAACAGAAGCTATGAGAAGTATGGAGAGGAACACTGAAGCACAAACTCGGCAGCAGCCACAACGCCGTCTGAAACGTTTGAAAATGAATCAGAGCAGGGAAAGAAAAAATATTTTATGCATTGTAAAGGAACGCAGTGGTTTCTCATCCTGATTTAAAAAAAAAAAAAAAGAAGCCGAGGGAGGATCTAACCTTGCAACATACGTGGACTTTCCTGGCTTGATGATCCTCTTCTTGGGAAGAGGGAATTCTTGCAGGTCAGAGTCCGAATCATCATCGTCCGGCACAAGTGTGCCATTCCTTCTCGAAGAAAGCTTCATTTTCGTTTTACGCTTATTCATTCGAAAAAAAGTTAAGATCCATTTTTTTTTTACAAAGAGAAAGTGGGAAAGGAACAAGGAAAACAATAATCACTTGGTGCGTTTGTCGACCTCCGGAGTGAAATCATGCTCAAGGTGTATTACACATATCACATATGTATCAAAGAGAGAGGGGACTGGGAAGGAGTCCCTTAATCTTATTTCCTTTTTATTTATTTTTTTTGGCTTTGAAAATTAAGAGGATACTTTGAGAATTTTAAATACAATGGAATGTTTTCGCTCTTTCAGATTAAGTCTAAGTATCTTAGGTGCAGATTCACATTTTTAGTCTGTTCCTTTGCTCTCTAAATAAACAGTTTAAGACTTAAACTTGCTGTCACTTGTGAATACAAAAAAAAATCTTGTTTGGACACCTAGCTAATTTCAACATACTTCTCCTTATTTGCTATTCATGTCTGCATCCCTTAATTTTACTGGTGAATTGTGGCTATTAAGTCTAAAAACGAATTTCTGACTGTAAAATCAACATGATATGGACTAAAACCACTATTTTCAGTGGCACACCCAAACTGACATTTCCAGTAACATGTTTGAAGTCAGCAAAATGTGTGGCACCTTAGGAAGGAGGGTAGGTAAATGATAAACTGACAATATTCCACCAACCCTCTCCCTTGAAAGTTGTTTCCTTCCAGTCATTTAAAATCCAACTAGTCATGGCTGCTACAAAGTTGTTCAGAGGAGTGCTAAATATATTTGCACCTGTACTGGCACTTGCACTACAATGTTACAAATCAAACTCACCATGAATCAGGCTTAACCTTTTACCCCCTGACATCAGTATGACATACTATGTATATTCTCTATTCTGCTCTCTATATATTTCCTTAGGTGCTGACAAGGAGAATTTTTTTAACAATCAAAAACTCCTTTAGTTGGTGATTATTTCACGAATTATCGTGAACTTAATGTGTGATTCAGGGATGATATTGCAAGGAGAAATTAGATGTTACTTACTCTTACATTAGTAAAAAGTACCAGGTCACAGACAGGTAAGTAGATTTCTGTTTTCAAAGTAGTCACAGGTATTATTTTGTGTTGTAGTGTTCACTTATTCTCTTTTGGATACCCACACATCAATAATTGTATCTTGTGCTCTTTGTGTCACTGATAACACAATTTCTTCAAATTATTATTTTTTATATGTTCTGCTATTCACATTGCCTATAACTAACACAAGGCAAAAGCCTTTAAAAATGGAATTTCCCCGAGTGTTTTTTTTAATATACATATTTTTTGATCAGCAAAAGTAATTTTTGGTACATGAGCACTGTTTCTCCTCTCTATTCCACCAGGAGTGTTTAAGAGGTTTTCTTCTTCTACATATATGTATGCCCAACACAGTAGGGAAGGTCATTCTGACATTCTAAGACAATTGATCATTTTTCTGCTTTTCAGTGATAAATACATAAATGATCTATTAATTCCTATTGTGGTGATAAATTGAATAAATAATGTTCAAATAACTGATCTATAGATATAAATAGGTTTATTTGTCAAGTTACCACATCACCACATCTTAGATAATGAGCACTAAGATGTTCTATGCAAAGTTTCAGTTTTAATAGCACAAGCATTTGAGACAGTTATTTCAGTAGAAAATTACCATGAAATTGTGGTTCAGCTTGAATAAAAAGAGTCGAAGCAAAATTGAGGAAGCCGTCCTGTCATCAACTTTATCCAGTGTTTTTAAAGGGAAAGAAAAAAAAAATAGGACAATAATGGGGATTTGGGGGATGGGGTATAAAATAGCTGTGTAACTTGATGGTTTCCATTGTCTCTATTGAAAGGGGGTTGAGGTTAACCTTTCAAACAAACAGCAGTGGATGTTGCCACCTTAAATTCTGTTCACAAGTGTATCAGTCTCAGTGACCACAATGCCACCTGATTCTACTTATATGCAGTAATAGTGAGATGATGGCCCCAAAAATCAGTTTCTGTGTCTCAACACTCACAAGTCTCTCCACCATATGATATTTATGGTAATTTAAAAAATAAAATATGAAGATAAGCTATGAAGAGTTCCAAGAATTTTGAACCATATTTCCCCAAGAAAATGTACGTAAAAATGAATTGTGCACCGTAAAAAATTAAGCCAAACTTTGTGAAATCTGTGTGATTCTTCACCTAGCTTCAACCTCTTTGATTCACGCTAAGATACAGATGTATGTTGTCTTTTATTTCTACCAGCAAACTAATACCTTCTAAAAAGTCTTTGGAAAATCCTGCCATAGCAAATTAATTTAATATCATTAGTCCTCCCAGGAAGTTAATGTGTGTGAAACAGTGGGATAAGGTAAAATGTAGTCAACATGCTGGGCTCTGAATGAAACAATGAGTATATCAACAAAGTTGAAATGGTAAATTGGCCACCGTTAGGATTATAAAAGCTGATGTTTCAAGTGTTAGCCCTTCGTTGGAGCGAATAGAGGAATTGTGGGTTGTGTGTGTTTTTAAAGGCAGAAAAAGGAACTACGTGATTGGTGGGAACATGGCAACGAGAATATATTCGTACTTTTCTCGTTGCCATGTTCCCACCAATCACGTAGCTCCTTTTTCTGCCTTTAAAAGCACACACAACCCAAAATTCCCCTTTTCGCTCCAATGAAGGGCTAACGCTCGAAATGTCAGCTTTTATAATCGTAACGGTGGCCAAGTTACCATTTCAACTTTGTTGATATATTCAAATTATTTCATTACCCCCACCGAAGCAGCACCAAACAGTTTCTTTAGAAACTATCAGCCTTTATTCATCTGAATGAAACAGGCTGGGTTAGAGCTCTAGCTAGCATCGTTGTGTTGGGTTATTGAGAAGGAGTCTTAACAATCAGTGCCTCACTCCATTCAGGAGCTGATCCCTGAGAGGGATTACCAAAGAAATTTAGACACAGGTGGGTATAACCAGTAACTTCTCTAGGACACCTAACAAATTGCTAAAAGGTAGCCTGTAATATCACCTCCTCATCCAGGGGAGGAGGCAATACTCCTGGATCCTTCATGTCACAGGAGTTGGGATAAGTTAAAATGGTAAGGGTCATGCAACTCATGAGTAGAATTTGCCTTTCCCCACCTGGATTTCAACAATGTGACTCAATTTTGTTCAAATCATTCAGTAATATGGCCTATTTTCTAGTAAGGATCAATGTTCTGAAAGCATTTTGAGATTAAAACTGTACATGCTTTCATCTAATTCCTATAGGTCAGTTGTGTGCTGACCAAATAAAATACAAAGCAAAGCTATGCCAATATATATATTTCATGATTCAGAGTTTATAGCATAGATTATTTGGACCTGTATACTATAAGACAAAGGAGGCACAGTGGTCTCATGGTTAGTGCGCTGGACTCCGGATCGAGTGGTGCGGGTTCAAGCCCCAGCCGGGACATTGTGTTGTGTTCTTAGGCAAGACACTTTACTCTCACAGTGCCTCTCTTCACCCAGGTGTATAAATGGGTACCGCCAATTTAATGCTGGGGGTAACCCTGCGATGCACTGGCATTCCATCAAGGGAGGGGTAGAAATACTCCTAGTCGCTTCATGCTACAGAAACCGGAGTTAAGCACCAGCCTAATGGGCCCTAGGCTCGTAAACAGACTTTACCTTTTACCTTACTATAAGGCAATGATGCTGACTTACATGAGGTGATCCTTTTCTTCATAGACTCTAGTGATGTCTTCAGTATTATTGTGAACCACATCATGGAGATCATTGTTCCAACAGTGAACAGGACAAAGATCACCTGAAGAGCATTCCATGGTGAACAACAAGTTTTGGATTGTATAGGAACATGAATTTTCCTAGAACATAATGATATACAGTGAATAAATTGTTATCTAACAGCCACAATCATTAATCATAAACAAACTGCACACTGAGAGTTGGCTATAAATAATTATGGCAGTTCGATAATCAAATATAATGCCTCAATGATTTTGGTGTAAATAGCAGTAACTGTCAAGAGTTAAACAAAAAATTTTAAAACAACAAATTTTTCAGAGTGCATTGTTCTTAACATTTCCATGGGGAAAATAAATTCCTTATACCATATTTTCTCGGTTATAAGATGCACCCTGAATTTTTTAACTCGTTTCTTTCATGTTGTTAAACTGAAAATTTTGTCTAAATACCTAGTTATAAGATGCAACCTCAACTTCGGGCTTTTTCACTATCTGCACTTTCAAAACAATAGCGTTTTCAAAGTTCCTAATTACAGTCGTGTCACCTTTTTTTAACAAATGGCAAAAAAGTTACACATTTGCACGAACAAAGCAAAAAAAAAATCACACCTATAAAAGAGATATGATACTGTGAACACAGTCTGCCTTCTTAGGAAACAGTGTTACTTTCTAAAGCTATGACTAATAATTCATCCAGTTCAAGCTTTATAAGCGTGTCTCAGCAGGTCAAACTTCATTCACAGCCATTTAGTAAGCATCGTTAAGTTCAAAAGTATTAATAAAACGGTTCTTTTCAAAACCACCAAGTCAAGTAAAGTCAAGAACCAATATTCCCAGCCGTTTATCTATTTATCTTGTTTTATTTACATTTACATCTTTATTTAATGAGGGTAACATATCAACTTCACACAAGTTTTCTAATATATAACCCTCATATTCCCACCCATCCCACCCCAGGGGAGGACATCCATCACACAGTAATCTCGTGCGTGGGAAATTAACGTCTCCTGCCCCTAACCCTGCAGGAGACAGGACCTCCATTTATTTGTCCCTATCCGAGAAGACTAGAATATCTAACCATTGCTGATGTTATAGAAAGGTAACATATTCTTCTCAATTATTTTAAAAACCTTGAGTGTTGATCCAGCCAGGGCTTGAACCCTCGACCTCCTGCACATCAGTCGAGCGATGTACTGGTATCCATTGAGCTAACCGGGAGGCGGTTAGCTCAATGGATACCAGGTTAAAATTAGAAAATAGGACATTCTTGAATTTCATTGCATGAAAATACTTGGCTATAAGACGCACCCCAAATCTGAGACAATTCAAAGGTGATAAGCCAAAATTTCTTTGAAAAAATGCCACCCCTTATAGCCGAAAAAATACAGTACTTCCCCTGCTGACTCCTAGGACTGTCTCTGCCATTAACAGGTGTTTAGAATAATTGCTCCAGCGATTATAGAGATGCACACGCTCTGATTGGTCAAGGATTGTGTCACATCTTGCTACATGTATTATCACCTGGTGGGAGGTTATTATAGAGAGAGCCCTACATTTCAATATGGTTGCCTCACATTTTGTCAATGTTACAGAGGAAGTAACACACAAGATAAAAGAAAATGCAATTCCAACAAGTGCAAAAGATGCTCTTAAGTTTGGCGTAACAATTTTCAAAAGAAAGATATGAAGTTTAAGTGAAAGTTGTTAAATAATCCCCTCAAACTTTGTTGTGGGGATTTTTCAACAATAAATGTTGGATCGAGATAATTTTTACTTTTGGTTAATTTTATTTCTAACTGGGTTTTTTTAAACTAGGTAAGTTTTTTTGTAACTGGTAAAATTTTTCTCCCCAGTTAAGTTTTATTGTTTTAAGGTAGGAGGTCGGAAAGTAAAACTTTTTCCAGATCTATCGGATAAGGGGCCTAATGGGTATGGAGGAAGTCATTGTAAACAATTATTTTTGTATGTATTTATTAAATGTATTAAAAATACCTTTCCACTGCATAGTAATAACTTCCATTGATCAAAATGATACAGGACAAAATTTACAAATTCAACATCAAACCATTTTCAGGATGTCTCAAACTACACCCAAATCAATAAAGAAACAACTCTGTTTGCGGTGAGTATGTCGTGGTCCACTATTTTTCCTTCTTCATTTCCTTTTGTTTCCAATTATGATAACAAGTGCAAAACAAAAGGAAATAAAAAAAATCACCGTAAAAAATTAAATTAAAAAAAGAAAATAACCTTAAGGTATTAGTAATGAAAATACAATGCCTAACGCACGAAAAATAATTCATGTCAGCCTTAAATTCACTCGACCGTTTCTTTACACTATATAGATGTGACATCGACATGAAATCGCAGCTGAAATAATACCAAACCAATTGCTTTTTTGGAGAAGAATCCCATAAATAATTGGTTACCTACATGATCGAAACTAGAATGTCTCGGTATTAAAATCTGACAAACTCTTAAAAAAAATCTGGCAGGTTCGATTCGTAAGCGGCGATAGGTTGTAACAACTGTCAATAGCTAGCCCGGTCGATCTTTGTCAGAGGTCCTGTCAGCTGTGCAATATGTTTCTACATATGATATTTAATAATCAGGCTTAGACGATATATGCTGCAATACCTGGATCTTGGACGTCGTAGTCGAGTTGGTGGTAAATCCAATGGTTGAACGTTGTCTTCAGATTCACTGCTTCGCCTGACACCACCGCGATCCTCTGCGGAGTTGTATGAAATCAATAACGATTCCTCTTTATTTCGTTTCGTCTTCTTAGAATTCATATCGGTTTCTTGCTAACTCTCACAACGCCAGTGTTCGATTTCTCGACATAGCGATCAATCATTATATCACAGATGGAGGAATCTTGTTTTCCGCTCAATTGAAGAATGCCGAAAATTGCTAATTATGATTTACAGCATTTGCAACATTTATAGCTGTTCTTCCTAAGGTCACTACAGCGCCTTTGTTGGCCCAAAGGTAAAGTACAAAGTGGTTCCTTAAAGTGGAAATCATTTTGAAAGAAATGACTTCTTCCAGATGGAAACGAGTAATCGCAACGAAGAACACCTGAAAGAACCGACAGTAGATGATTCAAACTTTAGACTCTCTTTCACGTCATGAACGACTGTCGCCCCAGGGGAGGGGTAGGTCGTGCACAGCACAGAACGCACGACACCCCTATAAAGTTTTCATTTTATTTTAAAACACCAATCTGTAAAAGTACTGATCTACAATGATATATTTCACAACAATATCCTCGACATTCTCTGTTGATACTTCGGATTTTCGGGCATTTCCTGTGCGCCCCCTCCCCCCAAAAAAAGTGTCCTTCATACACAAAAATAATAAATTCATTAAAAAAGAAAAATTTGGTACAGCAGCTTTAAAAAAAAAAAAAAAACTCTTCCAATTCTCTTCAAGGTTAAATTTACTCGGGTAAATTTGTAAGCTTGAAGATCTTGCGTTGACAGAAGAAAGAACTACAGTGAAATGTATTCACGGCATTTTTCTTGGAAGGTTTCCAAGTAACACTGTCACCAATGTTCCCTCCCCACTCATGGTGAGTCATTATTTGGCATATTGACACAATGCATCGTTTCCTAAATTTCACGGACACCACGTCCCGTCGCTTAAGTTTCCAAATTTGAACTCTCATTTAGGTGTCCTAGCCGCGTAAGATTTACTTTCCTTGAAATTAGAAATTTCCATAGTATGGATATTGGCTATAGGTGTGAAAAGGAGGATCTATGTCCACCCCCTCAAGGACCCTTTTTGCTGTTGCTATTAATGTTTCTTCATTTGGCAGATGGCCATGGTCTTGAAGACGGTTGGATAACATTTTGATTTTCTTCCAAAGAGGCAAGGAAACGATGTTGAGAGGAAAAACTTAAACTCTATACGACTGGAAGTTCGAAAGTGCCGTCCTACATAGGGAAATTATGGTTCACCTCGGTACTAATCGACTAGAGAGTCTACACCTGAGTTTATTTCAACAGGTCTGTCTACTAGGAGGTCATTCCACATTCATCGAGGGAGCGCTTTGGTGAGAGTCATTTTGTTTATTTTACTCACACAGCTTGTATATTAGAATGTTTCACTCTTTTCATTCGAACCAAAAAGTAGAGGTTGCTTTTTGTGTGAAAAGCGAGAAAATTGTTAGTGTTGCATGCGCATCCACGGCCTGGCTCGCGAACAAAAATTCCCACTCCTCAAAATTTTTTAATAAAACCGCGCTTTTAGTTAGAAAGGGACGGCGTAAAAACCTTTCATCACGCTCTGGAATTGTGCAGAAAATTTAATAGGCTTGTAAGGAAAATGGAAAAAAGTCGAACTTATTGGTGTGAGTGGAAGTAAGCTTACTTCAAACCTTTGCAGAAGAAACATTACATTTCTTTGTATGTGTGCATACCTGTGTCGGGCATTTAATCAGTATTAAATTCTTGATATTTTGGAAATATTCGGATAATGTAATTCAATAGCATTCGCTCAGAAGAGTGAGAGCTGAACGTGTCGTGGATGTATGTGTCAAAATAAGTATACATCAACTTTAAAGAATCGTGTGGCAGATTTAGCAATTACAGAAGAAAAAGAAAGACGAATTTATTTAAACAGAACTAGACGTTTGGGGCCACACTTCAAAATCAATACCCATTTCCTTCCTGGCTTAACCGTAATCGGATCTTTTACCCTTATGACAAGAGCTAAGGCTCAGAAGTCACTTCTGATAAGTTATGCAATTGATTTCATGAAACTGTAACTAACAGGGCTTTGTATCATACAACTTTGAAAAGACACCAACAAAAGCATAAAAAGTCTTAAGAATATTCACCATGCAGAAAAAAGGATAATGGTCTCCCATTCATGCACTGAAAATGAAATGCATTCATCAAATAGCAGATTACAGCCATTTTGCAAGCTAAGGAACTTTTGGCCAAAAATAAATTATTCCTTGATATGTTTTAATTAGTTTTAGAGATTTCCATTTTGGTGGCAGAATTCAGAAAAGCTGAATTTTCCATTCTGCTTAGGAAAAATGGAAATCTAATCTGTTTAGTCGATTAGGAATGCAAGCAACTAAAGGTTTTCAAATAATGCACAAAGTAATGTGTTAATCAGTTGTGGACCTGAGCTATCTTGCAGAAAGACAACAAATACAAAAGTGATCAATGCCATTTCATGCTTAGAATCTTACCAATTGACTCTCATATTAGAAAAAACATGCTGTTCCTTATTTATGGGTGGTTTCAGTTGGGAAGGTGTGACAATAGTGGGGGCCTGGTTCTTGTGTGTCCTGCACTTTGCATTACTGGTAAGTCACTGTAGCAATTGTCTTTGACACAAACCAATCCCTACATTTGCAGGCTACCTCTTTTTCTTATGATTCTCATGCACACTAACTCAAAACAGGTTGAATTTGAGCAGTAAGTCTCAGGAAAAAAAGCTTTTCTTAACAAGAAATGATTTTTACATAAAGTCTTCCAAGTGGCACACAGCAAATTGTTACCACAACTTTTCGGCACGTACCATTTGAGACATTTATTGCCTGGTGTCCTGACTTGAAAAAAAAATTAGTCAGTGGCAGATTTAAGAGAGGGGCCTGTAATTTCTAGGTTTCCTTTTATAACAGAGGTTCTCAGGTTCTCAGCTAGAAGTGGACATCTCCTTTACGGCTCAAATTCCACCCAACTCTAGCTTTAACTTTGTGTAAAAATTGCCCTTCATATAATGAATAGTTACTATACTTAATTTAACAAGGTATTTTTAGGTGACCTTTCGTCCACTGTTGTTAGTTTTGCCCGATGTCTATCAGTGTAGAGGATCTTTACTAACCAACGAAAAACAGTTATTGCAATTCTCTTTGAGTAACCAACATTATTTGTAAATATTATAATAAATCTGATCAAGAACTTGTGAGGGTTTGTACAATTACCAAAACTTACAACTAAGACAGATTTCATCTTGCGAGCCACATGGCAACCAGAGTATTTTAAATTCCTCATGTTACTAACAATTATTATTAAAAACTGGATCATTGGATAATGCAATTCAAGACTTTTTATTGGCTTAGCCATTATGGTATATCAGCCAATATACCATAATCTACAAATATGGTAAGCGTACGCGTCAGCTTAAAATCAAAAGGGAGCTAAAAAATCCAGTTTCTTCTTACAAAATAATTTCTTGGGGGCGTTTTTAATAAAACAATTATTCCACTCGCGCTTGTTGGATATGAGATGATTATAGCCAACTCGGCGCTACGCGCCTCGTTGGCTATCTATCATCTCATATCCAACGCGCGCTCGTGGAATAATTGTTAAATATACTTGGTCTGTAGGCATCCATCCAAACACATAATACACCGGGGAATTGTATCCTCACATGGGCTGTAAAAGATATAAGATAGGAGTCAAAGTGTCCAATTGACTTATTGTAACACATGAAAATAATGTGAAAAGTGAACATGAATGTTAAAAAAAATAAAAAATTACCCACAACATGGCAAGTAATTTAACTTTTAATTATGAAAATGATATTCAGTGCATTTTTCTTGGACATTGGAATTTCTCCAACTTTTTTTCTTACTACTAACAGTAAAACTGTACTAACTTGAACTCAGTTAACTTGAAGCCCTCAGTAATTTAAATAAGTTCTGATTTCCCTTGATCCCACTTTTTAACTCATTTACTATGAGCTAACTCTACAGCTTGAAAGCAAGAGTAAGCATGGTTCTACTGTAGTGGCCTTTTATAGATTGAAAAATTAGGCTTCACTCTATGCTAGCCACTTCTTTGTGCTCAATAATTATTTGAATTCACTGATGGAAAATCTAGGTGTTGGAAAAGATACTGAAAGCAGACAGATGGAATTAATATAAAAAGTAAGGATAAATAATGAACACAGTCAGATTATCTCTAATATTAGTAGTTATTTCACATCAGGGAAACTCATGTGATGTTATACATTAAGGGATTGATTAATGAAGTAATCCAAAAGTCAATAGTTGCATGTGTTTAACCATGAATTTTTTGAGCAACTGACAAAGAAAGCACCCCAGAGATTAACTGAATCCTTGCAATAGGTGTTATTATTTTAATGATTTTACCATTGCCATAATTAATGTCTATGCAACAATAGCCAAGTATTAACCTTTTTATGAACCTAAAAATCTCCTGATTGGACATAAAAAAACTTCTCGCTTAAAGGCACCTTACAACTTTCCAAGAAGTTTCCTTTTTTGTCATCATTATGGTTGTGGTCATCACCATCATGAAAAACCTTGGACAAAGTCAAAACAGACATGGTGTGATGACATCAAGTATGGGCTGTTCTCCAGATTGTTCTTCTTTGACAGTTGTATTTCAACCAGTCTTGAAGACTACACCACACTAAGTGCCTTTGCAAGTCCTGGGCATGCCCTTTTATATTGCATATTCTCAGCATCCATCATATTTCCTGATGGCTTATAAATACAGCTCATTCCCATAGTGACATAGTAGCCAAACCAGCTTTACATTATGATCTTCTAAAGCAAGCAATGTCCATGGGGTGTAACCTACTTAATGGTTCAACAGACTACACAGTTCCTTACCTTCATTATCACAATGGTACTTAAGACTTGCGTCTCAAGATGTGAGATGAAACCAGGTAGACTCTCTTTGCCATGGATGAAAATGCAAAAGCATAACTGCAACACAAAAGCAAAGTAACTACCTTTTTGTAAGATAGGAAGAGTATTTGATTTTTTGATTGATGCTCCTCCTCTTGGAAAAACGATCTGATTGATGCAGATTTTTGTACTTACATTTATCATTTTTCCATCCATTAAATTAATAGCCAAACACCTTAATGATGTCAGTAGAATTTAAATAAACACAGAAACCTTTCATATCCAAAAATAAAAAACCAATATCTCTTTCACACTTGAGAATTAAAGTCGGCAAGACTGTGCAGCACACTCATCATTTTGAGCTTGGCTTCCTCAGCTGTTACAGCTTCTAATCTTGGGCAAGACTTAGAGGCAGTAAAATTTTCTATTGACATTTTATGACATCATGAATGCCCATGACTACATCTCAGTTACTGTCCTATTGCCAACTTGGGAAATGTCAACTGAAGGCACATATTTCTTGGTAAAATTTGTTGCCTTCCTCTTGCTTATTGCATACTACAGTTGGATGGCTTATTGAAGCTGCTTGACCTCGTTTGTAAGACTGTATTACTTCACGAAGTAATGATTATTAGCCCATAAAGGCTTCAATTCTTTTGCAAAAACTGTTTCAGTTTTTGTCAACACAGACAAAAACTCATAGTAGTATTGCTATGTTTATGGGCAGAGATAGGAAATTGTGTTACTGTGCCCTCTTGGAGAATCGCTATTTTGGTGTTGTCTAGTTGTTTAACTGTAACTGCAACACCAAAAATTGAGTCCAATTCTTTGAAAATTTTTGTGGCTTCCTTTGACTGGATCAGTACAACTCAGTCACCTCAATGTCAAAAAATAATTGACAGTAATGTCCTTTGTTTAATCCCCTGCACTAGGTTAGCATTTAGATGGTTAAACCTTTCTAAGGACTCTAAAGGGCAGTAATAAATAGGGACCTAGTTTAAGAAATTGTCTCTCTCCCAAATGTGTTCCGATGCCAGTATATTACACCTGTCAACTTTTCTGTTATTGCATGAACATGGGCATCACATCACTATAAACAAAAGTTCTAACAAAAATCTGACCACTTCTAAAAATTTATGAAGACTTTTTTTGACAATATAAAGCTCCAAATTTTGATGCCATCTTGAGACGAAACACTACCTTGTAGTTTATTTATTATGGTACATATATTAAGTAGTATCAGGTACCAGTAATAACCTTAATCCATGAAGGTGAACACATTACAGTCATAAGCTGATACACTTGTGGCCTTCTCTAAATTTACAAATAACTTTAAAAGTTTAATGGAGACTATGACACAAATGAAGATTGTAAATTTCTAATACATCAAAATAAGGCTTAAAATACAGATTGGCAGGAGCACATTACTTGGAACGTTCAACTCCCATACTGAGCCTATTTTCAGACTATCTTTTAATGGGAAATAATAGCAAGTCAAGGTATAGATTAACTCTATGCTAATCATGATTGGTTGAAGGGCTTCTTTGAGGAATTCCATTTCGTGGTAAATTCAAGCTAAAAACAGACTTGTCTGTGAAAACACCGTGAGATAAACAAAGGGCAGTTGAATGCTCCACTGAAGTAATGGACTCCTGAGATTGGCTACAGTAAAAAAAATGATCAGATTCTAGTATGTGTTCCTTTGCTGTTAAAATAACAATTAACTAATTTACATGATATTAAACAAATAGGGATAAAGCAAATTTTTTTTTGTAATTTCTTTTATTGAAGAGGAACAGGGAATACTGCTTACATCACTTGTAACATTACTAAAACTGGCACTAAAAATTGATACAGTACTTTGGAGTTAAAGATAACTATGATACAACTTCATGGTCTAATAACTACACAAACATAGTAACACTAGTTCAAGTGACAATACCTCTGAGTTATTCAAATTGTTTTCTTATTCCTTTTTTTTTTTTTTAACACTTGCCATGTCATATTTCCTACATTACATCTTGCAGTATTGCAACTACAACAAGTGACTGGTTCATAATAGCACTAATTCAGTATCAACTGCTTAATAATTTTTCCTCTCATTTATGTCTATCATTTATTTGGCTAGCAAAACCAGAGGGGGTTAACACTTTGTTATGGAACTTAACGGGATATTTGTAAAATCTCATAAATAACAGAGTTTAGTGAAGTTGATATTATACATAATCTAAATAAAGATTCTTTCTGAGAAGGAATCAAGTTGCAGTTCCTAATGGAGTATAAGCCACCTAAAAACACTTTCTTTAGGGGATTGTGTAGCTTGGCCATAGATTGAAGGTGTAGTCAATGGCATCTACTTCTCTGCAATATAAACAAGCAGTGTCTTGTTTGATTTCAAAATGGAGTAGATCTTTTTCAACAACGATGACCTTATGTGGAAATATGAGCTGAAATTCTCCTAATTTTGTGTATCTGCCAATTTTAATCACTGATCGAAAGAAGGCTTGCCATGACTTCTTTCTATATTGGCAAAGGTCCCTCCATTTTGTTGGCCCAGTTGGTTGTGATAAGGTGTTGTGTTTGTCTGAAATTCAGTAGAAATCCTGTGCTTTAGGTTCTCTCTGAATTTTAGCTGCCGACCAGTTAAACAGACATAGTGGGGAATTTTCTATGCAAATTTTTCATGAAAAGTCATTCAAATTTCTTGCTTTTCACAAGAAGTAGTCATAGATAACACTCAAAGTCTGATTAAAGTTCAAGAAGTTGGTTTTGCAGCTGTATTTTCTTTGGAACACTTTGTTATTAAGAAAACCTCTATCATTTAAAGAGGCCTTTGACTCAAGTATAAATTCCTTTCAATATCTATCCCCAGTCAAAGAATGAATGCCACCAAAAAAACAATGTCATGTCAAATGGAAACGAGATAGCTTGAGCTGAGTTACATAAAAGAAGGAAGTTTAGGCCTTCATATTTTGGGGTAAAAATGTCAGGTATTAATTTTAAGTGGAAGTAGCGAAATTATTTGGCTTAAAACAGCACATTGTGGAGCTTTACCTTATAAATACTGGTAATGCATTCCACAATTTAACAGCTGAAGCAAGAATGATTTTTCCACTTTCTGTTTCCCTGTTTAATTATGTGTGCCTTAACATAATTTGTTTGTGTCTCAAAGACTGCAAGGAAGTGTTGAAGTCTGTTTTATTAGATGGTTAGTTGAGACATTCAACAATCGGTGAAAAGGTATTCAGTTCAATTTCTATAAGAGCTTTGCAGTTCTCCCTTTCCTTGTATTCACTCCCAGAATTACCTTAGCTGGTCTATCTTTAAAGCCAATTGTCATCAAGTTATTTGTAAAGGTTGTACCCAAAACTGATTTTCTACACATAAGCTTCATAGTTGCACTATAAAGTAGTATTCTTTCATCTGAAGGTGATTTATATGACTGACTGACTGTTGGCCACCCAAACATTGGGCATGTTTCTACTTATATGTATTCAATATGCTCATTTCTGATATGGTCCCCAATCAGAAGACTTTTAGTAACTTGTGGTTGGATTAGTTTCATCTAGGACTTAAACTTAACATTAAGTGCCATCTGCAGGACTATTTTAGGTAGAAAATTGATTTCCAATTTCTAATTAATGGCTTGTTACAAGTATTGTGGAATTGTGAGTTGTGTTTGCAGTTTTTTTCCTGTAGGTATTATGTGATCAAAATTTTTCAGTCTTCACAGTGCAAGTGAGGTGATTGGTATAGTGTTCACCCTTTAACATCAGATGTTAGTAGGGTTCTCTCTTATCAATTTTCAGCCTGAGTTCAGGCCTTCACATTAGTCGGCCACCACCAAAGGCCATCCAGTGGGGATTTCAACTTCTTCAGTCAGGGTTTTTGAAAAAAACTTACTGTCTCCTTGCAGAATACTGCAATTTTCCAGTTTTATGTAGTTACAACTAGGCTGCAACCTGGCATAGAGACACTTTTGATGACAGGCTGAATATAAGACAAGATTTTATAGTTTGACTTAACCCAAAAATGCATTTATGGATGTTTGGGTGTAACAGTTTATAATTATCTTCTCTTTCAAAAAAATTAATTTGGGTTTTTTTCCTCATTCTATTGGATTAAAAATGAATTTGTAAAACAATTTTGTTTTTTAAATTTCGATAAATAGATATGATATTGTATACAACCCAAAACACTTGTTGTTTTTAGTGTTATGTCAATGCAGATAAGTTTGTTGATGAGTAGTTAGTGTAAATGATTACAAAAGTAACTTATGTTCCGCTTACAGACATAAGTGTCAAGGGCACACCTTTATCCTGTTCCGTAAGCAATTGTTGCTATTGTGTTGTTATCAGTATTGTTCTTTTGTTGGTAAAGGTGTAGTAAAACAAAACATCTCAATGAATCAATCATTAAAGCAGCATTTTGCATGAGAATCAGTTAGGTCCTTAAACAACTCCTTAATTAATGAAACGCGGGAATTTTCCCGTTCTTTGTTTCAATTTGGCATGTATAATAAATTCAAGTGTGACAGAACTGAAGTGAGACTTTGGAGTTGTTTAGTAGCATTAACAAGTCAAGCATCATTACACCTTATTTGGTTACAGTCTTGTACGTTGTTTGGTAGAAAAACCACAATATCTGTTTGTTTTCTAAACCCCACTTCCTGTAATCCGTTTTCGCTCGTACACCGCAGCTCACTTGTAATCAAGTGACCCCATCAGCCGAGCACATGTTTACCAGACCTTATATGGGGCTCCGCTTCACCTTGGGCCAAATTAGGATATGCTGTGATTCGTGCTTGTTAACCTCCGCCCATAATCACGAGACGTGGGCTACGACTTCCTGACTAAAAGAGCGAAAACCTGATACGTGACGCACTCTTCTTACGCACAAGGGTATTAGGACAATTAACTTTTAAGCCGCTTCAGAGGGTTCTCATTGTTTTGCAAGCTGGAGTTTACCAAGTATGCAAAATCAATTAAGGCTGGATCAACATTTCTTTTGAATTTTGCGGGAGAATTGAGATCGTAATCGTTTTCAGGGCTAGGGTTTTCTAAAAATGGAATCTTGAGGGTTGCGATGACGTCCTTCGTTTAGTTTTAGGTCTCAAAGTGAACTTAAAAAAGCTGATTACGTTAATTAAATATTGATTGATGTTTGTGTCAGCCTCTGAAAAACAGTGTCATGTCAAATAGAAACGACAATAGGATGCGCTGGATCAAGGGCTGCGTATTTTATCGCGATCAGATTTTAAAAGACAGCATTCAGGAAATGTTACTTTTGACATAGGATAGATTAGGCTTAAAATGACAACAAGTGTTTTCCAAATAGGGCTGGCATAATCGTTTAAAAAAACAACGCCATATTCAAGTCCTTTAAGATTGAAGAACTTGTACATGATGTGTACTACAAATACGTCATTTCCGATTAAAATTAAGTCGATTTTTTCTTCTATTCATTACATGTTCCTTCAAAGTTGCCCTCTGATTCAGTGATGAGTTGTTCTGTTTTTGTTTACATAATAATAATGTCACACCAACTTTCTTCATGAAGTTACGGGTAGTTCGTGACTCATCAATTTGCTGAGTGTGAAAAATGTAATCCCAAGCTTTTATACCTCGGATCATGCCGATAAGTGATAACAAAATTTATACTTTGAAACTGCAACCACAATATGACTCACTGTCGACCGCACGGCGCCAAGCTGTGTGTATCTGTCCATCAAATAATAGAGGGAAATTTGCACACCCCTTGTTTTGGGAAGTTGTGGTCGAAACAAATTCCAAACGATCTTAGCTATCAATTGTTTTCGAACGTCAGATCGCTTTCTGTTTGTGTGCTTGATAGTGTAGTTGCGCACGTCATAACGCTTAACTTTCATCGATGTTTCATTAACTGATTCGTGTGGGAGAGTTATGGTTTAGCCGGACTACCAAACAAAGCATTCTTTCAGTTTCGCGCCACCGTGAAAAATACTGTCGATTATTTGTGATTACTCAGTAATTGATTGTGGAGTAGTCTTGTAGCGTAATACGGAAGTCGGCGTGGAAATGATCCGACTTTCGGAAAGATTTTTTCAGGTTTCATGTCTCGGTTTACATAGAAATGACAAAATCCTACAAGGTCCAAATTAACCCGATCGAAGTTTGAATTCTCCGTAAAGTGGTGCCCTGAAACCTCAGTTCTCCAATGGTCAACACTTGACAGCTTTTGTTGTTTTTTGTCATCTGCACTCGTGCTGATTGGCTGGACCATACGTGATGGACAAACCGAATGTGTTTTTGACACGCATGACACGAAGTAAACAGTGTGCGTAGATTGGAGAAAAAAATCTATCATGTCTTCAGATGGGCCTCAGTGAACGGGGTAAAGCTGAGGGCAACATGGTTAGCGGCGAGAGTACATCTCTAGTCGACTTCGTAAAAATGACTAACCCTGGTCTATTTGATTTCCAGGACGAGATACACTCGTTCATCGAGGCCTTGCTCCCTCATGTCAAGGCCTTTGCCTATACGTGGTTTAATTTGCAAGCAAGAAAGCGAAAGCATTATAAGAAGCATGAAGTACGAATGACTCCCGATGAGGAGAGAAGGTGCAAAGAAGAGCTAGATGCTGAAGCTCCTGAAGTGAAACAAAAGTGGGCCTCGAGGCTCTTGGCAAAGCTTCGAAAAGACATTCGTCAAGAATGCAGAGAGGACTTCGTGATGTCGGTCGTTGGAAACAAACCCGGCTCTTCGTGTCGTTGCGTAATTTCCAACCCCGATCAGAAGGGGAAAATGAGGCGCATCGACTGCCTTCGTCAAGCTGACAAAGTGTGGAGACTTGATTTGGTTATGGTTATCTTGTTCCGTGGCATTCCGTTGGAAAGCACGGACGGCGAACGTCTGGGCAAGTCGCAGCACTGCCAGAATCACACACTGTGTGTTTTGCCCAACCATATCACAGTGACAGTTCGAGAACTGGATCTATTTCTTGCCAACTTCATGTGCAACCGAGGTAAGAGTTGCTCACCTGTAATGTCGATGACTATTACCCGTAGAACAGATACGATCAAATGTTTAAATGCCAGCACATCAGAGTTACAGAGCTAAATTTTCTGCTATTCGGGCACCGTCTCTCCTATCAACAAGTTGGAGGTGCTATGTTTCTCTTTAATAATTAAAGCAGAAAACTGTTTAAGTCCTTTGGGTGTGTAATTTAATCATTTTATTACCCAAAAGAATTGAAATTGTTATATTTGTATAGTTTGCTTTCTTGTGTTACATCGACCGCAATTAGTTCTTCATTTTACTCACAGAGCACAAACAGGATTCCAACAGTCCCGTTCGAAGTTCTGGCGATCCAGATTCTCACCAAAGTAAGGATAAATTTTTAATATCTTCTCTGAAGGACCTGTTCGTAAATGTATTCAAAGTGAAAAATACAGAATTACATGTAAGTTGCAAATTTAGTCGTGGTAATGAGTAAAATGGACTATTTTTTTCCAAGGACAAACGCAGTGTTGTTGTTTTGTTGTGACCCGACACGTGCGCGCATTTGAACAATCCAAATTAATTCGCTCATAAGGCTTTTGTTTTTGTTCTCGTTGCGTTATCCCCCAGTAGAAACCACGTTTCATTGTTGTTAAAGGTAAAACTAAGAGCCCCATTTGCATGCCTGGTGTAATCGCAAAAATTAGCCCCTCCGGGCTACACGTGCTATTTCAGGAAATCGCTGCTATTTTGTCCGCAAGATTCTATTATCCCTAGAAATCGTGAACGACTTCCTCTAAGTGTTGCATAAATTCCATTGCGTATTGAATGTAAGTAAGGTAATACATGATTACAAAAAAGTGTCGTTTAGTAAACATTTAGATTCATTGTTGTTTGGCCCATAAGCTTTTTACCAAAGTACACGAAGTTCTTGTTAGCGTATTGGAAAGGAGATAAGTTTCATATTTCCCCTTGAGCTTTTCGCGGGTCGATCCAAGAATGAAACTCGAGTAACAACGACGTGCAAACAACATCTTTGTATTCGTCTTTCTGTTTAGAAAAGAATTGTCTTGCGCGGAAGACAATTCGTTTTGCCGTTAGTGTTTCTCCCTGAATAAACGGGATTTCGCAAACAACCATCACGGCACGACGACTAAATTAGAGCTTTCACTCCTTCCCTTACGAGTCGTAGGTTTATTTTTGCGATATCCACTTGACAGCTTGTTCATGCATATTAATATATTCTTTTTGCTTCAGGTTAACATTAACATATAGGCTGTAATCAGTGGAAATCATTCGTGACATTTCGCCTATTGTTGTTAGTATCCACAAGCTCCCCCTTTGTTTATCTTGTTTTTAGAATTCCTTTGAATTCTCTGTCGCAAAAATATACTATAGACTGCTACATACTAATTAATTTTCTGCGGCACTTAAAAAGATCTAGATCATTCTCTACCTGTTCTTCCTTTGGTCCCTTCGGTCAAAAAAAAAGAAAAGAGTGTGTGGGTATATTTGAGAATTATAAGTTCAGAGTGGCAAACAAAGTGTTTAAAAGATGTGATTTCTTGACCTTGGGTTTTATGTAAGTGGAAAGATATAAGCTGTTTCTGGTCTTGCATGCAATATGAAAGTACCGAGTCATGCGAAACTGGTTCGAGAACAGTGAACGCAAATCATCTTCGCTTACAGTTTGGACTCTCTTTTATTTCTTACTTTGGGGAGGGAATAAAACATTCTGAAATTTGAGTGAGACACGACTTGTGGAGAATCACTCTCTAAGAGGCATGCTGTTGCGGTTTTGTTTAACGTGACTGAGTTACTCGATACAACAACATTGCATTCCTTCCATGTGAAATTAAACTCTTGCGTTTGGCTTTCAAGGTCGTGACACTATTTACATCAGTTTATAAAAACTCTTTCTCGTAATTTCTTTGGTGTTTTTCCAGTTATTTGCTTTTCGAGTTCCTTGTTGTTCTTTTAAACGTTCTGTTAACAATTTGCTACACCTTTGAAATAAAACTTGAATCAAAAGGCAACTTCCAAAATCTGAAATGATTGACAGAAGAGCTACTAATGAATGTAATTGTTGACAAGCATTGTTCTGTTGGTCATTTGAAAAGTTATTGTCTTGTAAAATGTCAAAAGGTTGTGATTTACAATGGGGTGATATCTTAAACAATAGACATAGCAAGCACACATTTTTCATGCAAGGTCAGGTATCAGAATTATCATTATGTAGTTTTTATTTTTATGCAGTAATCCTTGCAAGAATGCAGTAATAAGCTGACTTGCTTTTCACTAAGATTCTGGTTCTCTACCCCTGGTTTGATCAGTGGAGTTAGTTTTAATGAAAGGAATGGAGAAGTTACAACTTAATCCTTACAAAGTATTAAAGAGTTAATCTTACCACTACTTTTGTTTTGTCTTAAGAATAATTGATGGAAGTAACTTTGGGGCATGCCAGGACTTAATACACAAACTTAAGTTAAAAATTCCAATATAGATCTTAAAGGTTTTGAACAAGTATGTTCATATCTATTTATCAAATTCGTTTTGTTTATGATTTTTATGTCTGGTTTCGTAAACAAACTGTATTAGAGACATTTAAATCCAAAGCTGTTGTTGCTGTTTTCATTTTTGTTTAATTTTTTTTATCTAAAGCCGAAGAGTATTCTGCTATTGTATAACAATGTGCTAGTATCTTTTATAGAGTTGGTAGTTATTGTGGTTTTTGGCTGCAAAAGCACTGAATATAGGTTAGATATTGTGATAAACAACTGTATGTTGGTATTCCTAGTAACTATTCTTTAGTAATTTAACTTAACATTCTACCTAATTTAAATATTAATTCAACACAACATTCTACCTAATTTAAATAAAACCCTAAGCATCAACAACCAATCTGTTCTATCTTTGCATATTTTCTTTATCCTTTAATTTTCAAATTTTGTCATTGGGAAGGTACCTATTTCATTTACCACTATCTTTAGAATTTTACTCTTTTTACATACAACTTAGGAGATAACCTGAACAGTGTATGTACGTGAGCAGGCCTCTTTATTAGCCACTAGCGATTGGGACTTAGTTCATTCACATTTTTACAAAGCACTAATAATATAGCAAACAATTTCCCTTTGGTTAAAAACCTCTCATCAGCCATAAAAGTATCACAAATGTTCATCTGCCTATTCTAACCAACATTTAAATTAAAATTTCAATATAATTTTTTTTGTTACCTACACAATCAATAGCACACTTCTTTTACTTTATATTTCCTTTATATTTCCTTTGCACAGTAATTGTTCTGGGCTTCAACAATCACAAGTAGAGATTTTGCTACTTAATAATTTTGGTTTCACAGTTGCATACCACACTTATTACCTCGTCATGAGCTTGTCTCTGAAATTCATTTTAAAACCATCAATGAACAGTGTTGCAAACTTTTTTCTGTCAAAGTAATGCAGGTTTTGTTTTAAAACTTGTTATAACATCTGGAACACGTACTTGACACTATTTTTTTCTTTAGGCCAACCATTTAGACCCTTTATGTACAAAATGAAACAATGTGTGGAATAATTTTTTTCAGTTACCTGTCAGCTTTAAATCACCCTGGTTTAAAGTAGGTAGTGTGTGTACACAGGGTTACCTTTCTGAATCAGGTTACAGTTAACAATTAGGTTTGTTCATTGCATAGCAATGCATAGAGTCAGATAGTTCATGTACTAATGAGTAAAGAACACTCTGGCATGGACTCTTCTAAGGGGCAAATGGATAAAAATTTCAAGAGTGCATGACAGGAAGGCAAACAACTGTCCCTGCATATTTTGTACACTAAAGCTGTAGAATTTAGCATATTAATGACACTTGTGTGTCACTACAAGTGAAAAGCAGGTGCAAGTCAAAAGTTTAGATGGCATCTTGGATTCTTATAAGTTGTTGCTTTTTGTAGATGTTGTAAGATTTGGTGTGGGCTGTCAAACATTTAATATTTAATCTCACACAGCAAAAACTTGCTTTTGTAGCAGTTATTCAGATGTTCTGTCATTTATTTGAAAATCATGATCCCTTGTAATATTTTAATCTGCACTACTGATGCAAAAATACATGTAAGTGAATCAATCCAGTATTTCTGGAATCATACTCAACAGGTCAGCAAAAGGTATGGTTGATTCAAGAAAGCCCTTTTTGTTTGTTTGTCAGGATGTGAAAATTTAATGAAATGAAATTCTTTCTCTTTTGCTCATTTTAAAAATAACTGTACGTTAACATCTAGTTTCAACAGACACTTAAAAGTCACATTCATATTAGGTGACCAACTTGTAATATCTTTAAAGGAAAAGAACTAGGACTTAAAAAAAAAAATTAAAATATTTGTACAATGTAATCACTACAGTTTGACAGTTGAAACCCAATACCAGTTACTTTTGACATTAATTGTCACACTGTCTGCTTTGTAATCTGATGTAAATCATTAATTTTTAAACAATTCTTCATTGGTTGGAAGCCAGGGAATGTAATAGAAAAGCAAGGTCAACCTAAGGCTTCAGTTTTGAAACATTCAAAGAATTGTAATTACTTTTGAACATTATTTTACCTTGGTGTCCTTTAATTTTTTTTTAAATATAAATTCTTAAAAGAATGTAGTTGTAAGATTAATTTTACAAGTACATTTTCAAGAAATTCAAATTTTCAAGACCAAGTCTTATTGTAAAAGTTAAAAAATATATATATTAAAATTGAAATGTATGTCTTTGTATCACAAATATAACTAGTGTACAAGAATGTTACCAGCCATTTTTTTTTTGTGGGTGTTACAAATATTTTAAGTACACTGCAAAAAAGATCATATAAGGGAGTTCTAATCAAAATTCACAGAACTTTACTCCATTTGGATGCCTTATCATTGCAAAACTGTAATCAGGGATGGTCAGACAGAGGGTAAAAAAACACTTCTTTGACTTGAAAGGCTCTGGTGAAATAGTATGCAACTGCATTGCTGCTACAGCACTATGTCTCAGTGCTTTGCTTCAAAATGAATCAACTTGTCATTATTTCTTTTTAGTTGGTACTGAGCAGAATCTGGTTTCATCTGGTGTGTTTACAGTAGCAGAGCTCTACACCTATGCTAGAAGTGAGTCTCTTTACAACGAATTACTTTTTACATTCACAAACATCTTTAAATGCTATTTAAAAATTGTCAGCATTGCTGAAATAGAGCCCATATTTGGTCATACTCAAAATTTTTCCCCTCTCACTTTTTATACTTTACCTTGACCCTTTTAATAAGCTCTTTGCAAATATAACATGATTGTGTATTGACTGAACACTTCATCAGAAGTTCTATTCTGGCAAAATCTGTTTCTCTTCATTTATGATAAAGTCAAAAGTGTTTTTCTTTAACTTCACATTGGTTTCAGTTAAATTGCACCTGTTTGTGCTTGTAACTTTGTGTGTTGCAGAGTTTATCTTTCAGAGAAAGCCTTTTGTTGCAGAGGCTTTAGTGGTGCTGACCCTCAACAATTGCAGCAAAACTATACTTCATTCTAAGCCAAAATCCTTTAAACGATGTCAGATGTCTTCAAGGCTCTGGCACTACCTGTCCTTTCATTGCCCCTGACATTACAAGCAACAGCTGTTCTTTGTTTAACAAATGGTAAACGACACAGCGTAGTGTACGCTGTGGTGTTTACCATTTGTTTTATAACATTGATACATTGTAGCTAAAGAGTTCCCTTTTATTTAACAAATCTTATGTGACCAGAAAAAACAAGCGCATGCGCAAAAATAGTCTTTGCATTTGCTCACGTCAGCAGCGTACACCCATGGGCAAATGGGGGACACTAAATTGACCAATCAGAGCCGTCGCTTTACTTTGGTTTTGTTATAATCTTCTTTCTCAAATACACATACACACATTCATGTACCATTGTTGAAAATTTATACATTTGAGCAGACATTGCAGCATCTATCTTAAACTTTTCAGCCATTCTTTGAATCAGAAATAAAGCAACAGTTTCATAGAGTCTGATTGTATTAAGCTTTGTATCTATGAGGAAGTATATAAAACCTTTTAACAAATATACACTAAGCAGCTCTGCATTGAAGTTTAAGTCATTTCAAAGTTTATGTTTTCAAAGTTATATTGTGTGAAATGAAGTATTCAAAAACAAACCAAAGTAAAATTTTTGAATGCTATTTCTTTCTTTTGTTTAAAAAACCCATTTCTTGTAAATTATTGCACAAAACTTCTAGTTTCCCATCAAAGAGCCTCTCAGTTAGTTAATGTAAAAATATATTTTTCAACCCTTTCAGCACCCATCAAATGTGTAACTTCATCACACAGTTTAATGTTATCAGACTTGGAGAGCTCATCTTATAGTGATGGAGGTCTTGAGCAACGTTTCCCAAGTGCCGTCAGCATACACCCACGACCTGATGTATATGACCTAAGGTACAGAAAACGAAGTCGGACGATTAGCTCTGTTTCATCAGTCGACGAGGACTGCGATGATGATGATAGGGACAGTACAGGACTGTATGTTCAATCACCAGCAAGTTTCTCTTCCCAGGGGTCAAACTGGCAAAATGATGTTGATTCAGGTGAGACAAAATTAAAAGGAGGCATTTGTGATCATGAAAGAAAGGCCACTTTAATAATCACTGCTTTCATCTTTTGATTGGCAAGAAACCAAAATTGTGAAAAAAATTTCTCAAAAGAGGGAATGAACATTGTTTGAAGGAAAATTTACATGCCCCTGTGAAAATTGCAGTCTTAAAGTTTCATTCATTCCTTACTAATTTATATGTATGTCAATTTTCAGGTTCCAGTGTCATCCACTCTCCAATGGTACCATACCCCCCGAAAATCAAACCAGAACAGAACTGCACAGGATACAATCCAATGGAGAACCACCACTCTGCTATCACTTGTTGTAATGTGAATGAACCACAGTCACCTGCAGTCACATCATACAGTGGTCAGACTCAGCAGTTACACACCAGGCAAATGAGAGACTGCAATATGAATGATACATCTTATATTATGCAACTAGCATCAGCACCTAAAGGTCATGGACCATCAAGTTGTGGGCTTGGCATGAATCTTCCACAGCAGGGATTTACATTCCGCCTGCCCATGCCAAATCCACACATTCCTTCTGTTGGTAAGTTGGAGAGGGTACATGTATTACAAGATTTCAATCTTGTTTTGCATGTCTTATGTGGTACTTACTGAATAAATAATGGTGTTAGAGATAAGTTGTCCCACATTGCTACTGATGCTAAGTGTAAGGCTTCTATTTTGTTATTGGGAATGAAAGCCATTTTCCAGATTCTCTCTTGCTACCCAAAATGCACTAATGTTACTTACATTTGAGAACTTCTTAAATCCAACTACCCATTGACATTACATTTCTTTGGCCTAATGGGGCCTTGTCAATGTGGTAGTTTTAAAGGCAACATGAAATTTGAAACAGTATCCATGAATCTCACAGGTTCTGCTCCTTGCCGTTCTGGTGCGCCCAGTGAATTCATCCAGCTTCTTGAGAGACCCCGCTCCAGTTCAGCACCAAATGGTAGGCACTTTGTTCCAGGAACATCAGCTGTCATACCTCCTCCTTTAACGAGATCGCAAAGTGGTAACAGTATCATTCAAAGCACAGGGAGCAGTAGCTTTAATGTAGCAGAACCACGGCACTCTCCAGTACAACAGCAACAACAATCTCCAGTGTCATCAAGCCCAAGTAAAACAAGTCCTCCCTCAGGAATAACACTGAACACAACTGTCCAGATTATCCAGGTAAATCATGACAATTTTAATGTTACCTGTTGGTGCAGCTATTGTCATTAATTTTTTTTTGTTTGTTTTTTGGAACATAATTGCCATCTCCTTCTGCGGATTATTTAATTTTAGGCTTTTTGTCATGCAATGTTGAGAAATATGTTATCATGTGAAGATAAGTCAGTGGCTCTGAAGGCATAACCCATATCCAAAGATGTTTTTCTCAATTAATCTCATTCACATGTTTTACTAATGTTAGTTGGTGTATATGTACCTTTTCCTATGAAGCTCAACATTTCCAGGGTTAGGAAACAATTAACTTTTTTTTTCACTGTGACTTCAACCCCCAGTCTCCAACAAATAATCCAAACAGTGGGGCATCATCATACAGCAATCACAACCAGCAAGTGTTCAGCTACCCAAACTTGCCACCTGGTTGCTTATCTGCCGTTAGTCCATCACTTCCAATGAGCTTGTTCACATCACCTGGAAACACACCAAGGGGTAGTATACCTCCTCGCTGGCCAGCAGCTATCCAAGTAGGACCCGTCTCAAGCAGTGGAAATGTTGCATCTGAAGAGGAGCCCGCTGACTACCAAATGGTGTCAGGGTTTGGCAGTATGAATCCAGATGAGAGCATGCTTGAAGGTAGGTGTTATAGGCTTGTGCATGTATTTCTTAGAAAATGTTTAGAGAAGATCGCTCAGTGTGTTGCGAGGACAGTTTACAATTCAAGTACCTGTTACAAAGGCAAGAGCCTCCTGGGAGGATGATTCTACCAGGAAATGTGTTGAAATCTGGCAAGTTTGATTATTCAACTTCACTTATATTCATGTACGTTAGGTGAAAACAAGCCCACTAGAAAAAAAAGTAGACAGAAGCTTTAAAAAGTAAGAGAAAGAAAGAGGAAGTTAGAGTAAGTTTTAATTTCGAGTGCAAAAATGAATTTGTGTGCAATAAATTTGTTTGTGACAGATTTTTATGATTTTTTTCATTTCATTATAATTCACCAGTTGCATATTATACATTATTTTACAAAACACAAGTGACTCAATAATCAAAGTAGATGGCTTAAGCAAGGAGGCACTATATGAGGAGCCTGAGTACCTAAAACACTACTCAAAGCCTTCTTTCTTCCTTTGAATTTTAGAGAGGAGTTTCTTTCCAGTAAGCAACACTGCAGAGTCAGTAGATGTTATGTCAGCGCGGATATCATCTTAAGCTGCTTGGTTCCTACAGCTCCTAAAAGCTGGCCTTATCCTCAGCAAGCCGAGATGGTAGGACTTAAAATTAAATGGGCGAGTAAAAGCCACTTCAGTCCATCCCACAAGATAAAATAGTACACAGCATGCCAAGATGTGCCATAATGCATGTCACGTGTGACTAATACCACTAGAAGAAACTTAGCACTAAGAAAAGATGGCTCAGCCAGGTTCAGAGAATACTTTGGTTTTGCCATTTGTTAAGTTATTGTAAGTTGTTCTTCTGTAAAGATGTTAGCATAAAATATTTAGAAGCATTCATGTACAAACCAGAGAATTTATATAGGCTTTTTAGAATAAGAATAACATGGTCCTATTTATAAATTGCATCAGTAGAGTATTTTGGAAAGTAAATTTAAGTACATTCGCATTATTTAGAATAATTCCATGCGTAAACACTCAATCGAAAGAATAGTTGAAGTTGAATTTCTTAATGATAACACACTCAATCCACTTTTAGTTAAGTCTTGTCATAAGTGTAAAGGCTTGATACTAATAGCTCATGAGGCAAAAAATTTGTTTAAAGAAATGCTGGATGTACAATATCTGAATTGGTATCTGGATGATTAGATGAACTAGCGTTTTTTTTTAAGTGAGTCTAATTACCTACTGTGAGAGTGGTGTGGTGTAGTGCAATAACTGTGCTCTTCAGTAGACCATATTCATATAATAGTTGCATACAATGGTTGTCTGTGGTCATAGTTTTCTCTAAGAAGATTACATTGATCAAACATAATATATTACCTCAAGAAACCTGAATCTTGAATATAGTGAGAAAGATTTATGAGATGCTACAGATTTTCCAACAAAATAATATATATAATCTGCATGTGTAAGTGGCAATACAAAACCCTTTGTTGACATGGGTGCAAAATGAATATAAAGTTTGCTTTTTTGTGCTACCAATCTCATACAAATTACTTCCTGAGGTTAAACTCACCAACTGCATTTCCATTTGCACATATTACTGGTAACAATTAGAAAACCTGTGATGGACACCATGATAATGGTTGCTGGTTTTCAATAATCTTATATTCTACAGATGGTGCTTAGCAAAGAAAATGAAAAGTAGCTGTTGATGAGTATGGTCTTAACTTCATTTAAGTTTAGCATGATAAAGAGAAAAACTTGAAAAAATGTCTGCCTCAATTTTAACAGTGAGATATTAAGTTGAGCACCATGTAGTCAATTCAGAAAAGAGAAAGTTTTAACTGTGAATACATGCCTTGCTAAACTTGTATTCCAGTGCCTATGATACCAAATGTTTTTTTGTTAAAGGGAAACAGGCTTCAGCCACAGTGGGTCACACAAGCAAAAAAACCCCCCATATCAAAAACCACTTTGTCATCTCCAGTTGGCTTATCTTTGCTAATGAAAGTAAGACTCGTGAAATTTTTTCTGTTTTTGAAATGGTTAATGTGCCGATTCATTGTTGTAAATAGTCTTAAAACTGATGGAAATGGCTTCCCAGCTATTGTATCAGTTTATTTTTCCAGGTTTAATTTTGGAACTTTGAAATTGTAATTATCAGGACAATTAATGCAAGAAAATGTTCTTGAGTACAGTAATTTTGATAATAATTTTCTATAGTTGTAGTAGAAAGGAATAATTTACCATCGATAAAAATATAGAAATAGAGAATAGAATTGTTTTTTAGGACATCAGGTTTGTAAATAGTTCATAGAGAGTTCTTGTTTTAGTACTAATCATGATAAATTTTGTAGTTTTGCAAAAAGATGTAGAGTTTAAAAACAATGAAATGTCTTGCTGCTGTACTTCTAAACTGCTCAGAGCAGCTGATTTTTTGGGCTGGTTGTAGACATTTTAAAATAGGGCTATCTTTTGTAAAAGGGATTCTTTTATACCAATAGTAGTTTCCTACATTACATTTGTATGGTTCTGATATTTTGTAGTCTTCATAAGATAATTCTAGTAATACATAAAAATCCGTGCTGAAAAATACATGTCATCATGTTTTTCATCTCTCTTTAAAAATTAGTAGCAAGTGGCAGGAACACTTAAAAACTTTTTTAAATGCCAACTGTTTTGTATGTGATTTTATAATAAGCACTAATTATTTGAATACAAGCTTAAATTTCAAATCATCATCGTGTCTGTAATCATTGATTTGTAAATCAAGGAGAGTAAGAATTTGTACCACTGTCATTGCAAAACATTTCAAAATCTTTTATCCTTTCTTTAACTTCTTCATTTTAAACACCTCAATCACGATTAGTCTTCTCTTACAGTTTCCAGTTTATGTATTGCGCAGACTTAGTCCTCGCATTTTACCTTAAGAGAACCGAAGGCAAAGCCCAAACCATGAAATTTAAGACATATTTCTATCATTTGCCTTGAAAACATCAACAACACTAGACCCTTCACCTCTTTTATCAGCCTCATGTATATCTTATTAACCAAGCGCGAGGGCCGTACTGGGAGAATATCGGCCTGAGGTCTTGACAGTACGGACCGAGTGCAGCGAGGTC